ATTTTTTTATTTCAAATCCGACAAATCGGATATGAAACCAAATTCGAATCTGACGGATCGGATCCGAATCCAAATCCAAATCCGTCGGATTGAATCAAATCCGAATTCGAATCCGATCCGGATCCGACGGATCGAATCAAACCCAAATCTGGATTCGAATTTGATTCAAATCCGATAAATCCGATTCAATCCGATCCATCGGTTCCGGATCAGATTCGGATCGAATCGGATTTTTTGCGGAACACTAATATTGACTAATAATTAAAATTATTTATAATAATATTATTTTTAATTTTAATTATTATTTATATTATAATAATAATTAATATAATATTTATAAATTGGTAGAATTTTATATATTATAAGTAATTTTAATTTATTTATAAAATATAAAATAAAAAAATAATTTAATTATTTTTATTAAATTTTATTTATTACATTTTATTATAAAAAGTTTATTTTAAATAATAAACTATAGAAACTCTATTATTTAAAACATGTAAGTTAAAATGCTTTAATAAATCAAAATCTCCAAAAATTATTATTATACAAAAGGCATATTTACAATCATTTTTATCTGTATATAAATTTGTAACATTTTGTTTTTTTATATTTAAAATATCATTATTTCCTGATATATTAAAATTTATAGCAAAACTTTTAAATATGTAAGATTAGTTTTTAATACCAGGTAAATTTATATTAAAATTATCATATAATTCAGAAAAATTAATTTTAATTAAATTTTTAATCATAAATTCTAAATCTATAATAGATAAATATAATTCATCTTTTAAATAAAAATAAAATTCATATGTATCTTGTGATTTTAATATTTTTTGAAAATGTATTTTTCCTCTTTATTATTTTGAAAATATTACTTTTATTTTTAATTTTTTCAAAATTAATAAAATGTTTTTGCATATAATTCTGTATAAATTTGGTTACATGACAATATTTTTCTTCAGTTATAGGTAAATTATATTTATTATGTTCTTGTATTATCATACAACTTCTATATATTATATATATATTTCATATATTTTTTGTATTTAAATCTATAATTATATTTTTAAAATTATTTGCAATATAATTTAAATTCTTAATGATTTTTTGAAATAATTGATTTATTTTTTCTTTAAAAAAAGCATTCTTATTAAAAAAATCTTTTAAAATTATACTTAATACATATAATTCATTATTTATTAGTTGATAAATAAAATTATTTTTTGTATTATTTATTCTAAAATAATTATTTATAAGATAGTTACTAACATTTTTTTTATATATTTTATTTTTTTTTGTAAATCTTCTTCTATATTTTTATCAACATCTAAATCTAAATTTTTAATAAGTTTATTATACTTTTTAATTGCTTTTTTATATTTTTTATTTACTTTAAAGTAGAATTAGAAGTAAAAGTTATAATAGAAAAGGTTAAGATAGAAATGGAAGTAAAAGTAGAAGTAAAACTAGAAGTGATAAATTTATTTAGATTACTATTATTACATGATGTTATAATTTTCATTTTTTTTATTAATTAAAGAATCTATTAAAAAAATTAAACAATCTGATATCTGTTTTGCCTTTGTAAAAGTTAAATCAGATTTAGTTTTTTTAATACTAATTAATGAAGTTATCATGATTTTTATTTAATTTTATAAAAAAATTATATTAAAAAAAAAACAAAAAAAACATCTTAATTTATAAAAAAAATTAAAAATTGATAATTCATTCTCAATTTCTTTTAGAGAATCCTAGGTTTTCATAAAGAATCATCAAATTTGAATTTCTCTTAAAGAATCATCAAATTAGCGGGTTTTCATAAAGGGTCTGCTAAAATAATGATTTCTTTTAAAGAATCATCATATTTGACGAGTTCTTATAAAGAGATTGCCAAAATAATAAATTCTTTTAGAGAATTGTCAAATTTAGCAGATTTTCATAGAAAATTCTGAAGGTAAATAGTTGTCAGTGACAGATAAGTGGATTTTTCATTTCTTTATTTTTTAATATTTATTTTTTTCTTTTTCTTTCTTGTAGTTATTCTTCAAGTTTCTTTTTTTTGATTTTGATGAAAAGGAGCTTTTTAATTAATAAATTTTTTTTTTGATCATTTGAATTTGAATTTTTATTATAAAATTTCTTTTTTATTTCTTTAGAATTGAACTTTCTTTTTAGATCCTAAAGTAATATTTAAGTTTATATTTTAGAGAGTAGTTAGAATAATATTTGGATTTGATGTTTCTTTTAGATCAAAAATCAGATAATTTAATACTTAATAAATTTCTTTTATTAAATTTAAAATTATGTTTTTAAATATATTTCTAACTTTTTTTTATTAAAAGTACTCAATAGATAAATTAATTCTATTAGTTTTTCTATCTATCTCTTAGATTATAGGATTTTACAGGCAAATTTGCCTACTTATTTACTATAAATTTTCTTCTGATTTACTTTTATGAATAATTAATATTTTTAAAGAATTTATTTTTTAAATTAATTATATAAATATGTAATATATTATAATAAGTTTTATAAGTTTTATCTTTAATTATATAATAAAAAATGTAATGTTACTTAGAAGCTAAAAATTTGTGATTTTTAAAAAAAATTTATTTTAAAAAATTTTATGAAATATTATAAAATTACTTATAAAGAAAACTTTTATTATTATAATTTTTATAATTTATTAAGAAATTTTATGATAAAGAATTTTTTAAAAAATTATTATAATAAATTTTTTGAAACTTAATTTTAAAATTATAATATTTTAAAACCTTTTAAAAACTTAAAATCTTTTTTAATAAAGTTGATAAAAATATATTAAATTAAATTTTTTATATATTAATGATATTACGAAATTAATATTTAATATTTTATAAAGAAATTAATAACTTTTTTTAATTTCACAGACAAATTTGTCTGTTATACAATTTAAAGGATAATATTTTTAAAAAATTTATAATTTAAAATAATGCTTATTTTAAAATTCAACTTAATATAATTTAAAAGAGTATTTATCTTAAGGGTAATGCTTATTTTTGAAATGTCATGAGTAAAGAAGGAACTAATTAATTTTAAAATTTTTTAATTATTTGAATTATATATTTGTAAATTTTTATATTAAAATAAATTTAACTAGTTATAATTCAAATTACAATTTATTAAGTTGCAATTTTTTAATTATAGTATTATTTTTAGATATAAGATTTTTGCAATAGAAAAGAGGGAAAAAACCAATTTTATTTTTATATATCAAAAATGATTTTTAGGTTAAAACATATTCAAATTTAATATTAACTCATTTTTTATTTTTCTGGTAATTTCTTTCCTTTCTATTGCAAAGGTATTATAATATAAATTTTAAAAATAATTTTTTAATACCAAAATTTTTAAAAAATTACAAACCTTAGCTTTTAAATTATCATAATTTTTTTTATATTTATAAAATTAATTTAATTAAATAATATATTTAAAAATAAATCAGAATGAACTTTATAGTAAAAAAAGGCAAATAATTAAAAAAAGAATTAATAAATTTGTATTAGTAAATTATAATATGTTAATATAAAAATTGATTTATCTAATTATCAAATGTTAAATAACAAAGTGAACATTGATATTGTCCATCTAACATAATTAATTGTATTATCAATATAATGTGATAATGATCTCAAAAATAGTTAATATGAAACTCATTTATATAGCACCTGCTAACATATTATTTGCATTTCAACAAAAATAAAATCAGAATTCGTGATTACAAATAAAATCTCATAATTTCTGTATTTATATAAAACATTTTCATAGAAAGATCAAACATATACATATAAAAATAATACATGATGCGTATTATTATTTAACGCCTATAGAGAATCAAAGCCACGCCTTTTTCCTCTTCCACGACCTCTTCCCATTCCTCTAGACTCATTCACTTGTTCATCCACCTTATTAGATGCCTCTTTTCTTGATTCTTCTGATAATAAATCTGTAAATGTTACGTTTCGGGATCGATTTGGTGTAAAACCAGTAGGGAATTTATATGTTGGGTTTGTAATACTTCGTTGTCTTATTTCTACAAACTTTTGGAAACTTCGAATTTTTTTAATTATTTTGTGCCGTAAATATAGAAGAGTGCGAATAAGTCTTGGAGCATGTTGCAAATTAAAGGGAGTAGTTGGGATGATAAGATTAGGGATCGTAAAAGGCGAATATAAATAGAGTCCCGGGTCTGGATTACCTGGGTCACCTGAAACCTCGGGTATGAACACGGGAATTTAATTAGGCCTTTGAACAGTTCAGCAAACCCATCAGCTTTATAGTCGATATTTTGTGAATCATTTTTTTGTGGAAATTGTACGTTCGCATGAAAAAAATTTTACAGAAGAAATATAACTAAAGGCTATAAAAAACATGTACGACAGTACATGTGCCGTCCATGATCTTTCCGTAGTGTAATCAGTAATTCTTTCCATCTTTGTAATTGCACTTAGATGGCTTGCTACACTTTAATGATATAAATTTCTGGATATAATAATTCATTATATTGTTTTAGTGAGATAGGAAGAGCATGGGATAGATATTGAAATTTTGCTATTAGCCCGTCCAAATTGTAGACTTCTTTTTTCATCTCCGAAATAATTTCATCTTCGACCTCTTCACTATCTGAATAACCTTCACTATTCTGATCAAACAATGATAAATATTGAAGCGACTTTATACTTAAATATTTGTCCTCATTTTCCGAAGAAAGTCTATCATGTAGTAATTTCAATTCTTCCGCGTCCAAAAGATTATGTACTTCATTTAATATTTCTTGATTTTTCATATCGATTACATAGTAATTTGAACGGGTTCTCCATATTTTCTTGAGCTTATTATAATATTCGGGGAATTCAACATTTCTGAATGTATTAGTGGTTTCGGCAATTGAATGCAAAAGAATTTCTTGAATAATAGTTTCTTCAACCGATTCTTCTTCGTTTTCATCAGTTTTGGTCTGTATACACAAATATTCAAGCAAAAAATTAAATAATGTTTTTGTATTATATATAAGTTACAATTTGTACCAACCTTCTTGTTCCCCTGAGTTAGAACCATCAAGAGCATGTTTGGATGCAGGTGTCGTATTAACAGGAAAAGAATTTGAAAATTCTGAGGATAAATCTTCAATATTATATTTCCCGGCTTTATCTAGGAGGTCGAGACTTCCAAGAATATGGGTGCGTTTCACATTCAACTAATTGCATATTGGTCTAGGTTTGTAGTGTCTTAATAGGATTAATAAAAGAAAAACAATGATATTTAAGGCCTGACGTACTTTTTTCTGTTCATGGATAACATTCTCCCAATAGGACTTTAATACATGTTTTGAACATCAGAATCTACCTATTATATATGAAATATTAAATTTGGTAATAAAAGTTAACCATAAAACAACCGATTCTGGTTGATAGTAAATAGAAACTTCAAATAAAAAAAATACAGATTCGCAATGGTAAGGCTCAGGACGATGACTGATACTCTTGAATCAGGGCGATGGCTGACCAGAGGTGCCACTACCATCACTTGGGCCAGGACGATGACTGATACTCCTGAGTCAGGGCGATGGCTGACGGGAGCTCCCTTGGTTAAATAAAGAAAATAATACCTTGACCTTTAAAATTTCATAGTCTTTTGATTCAAGCATCATTTCTGCGTTATTTAGAAATCTACGATGCCATGTACCATCTAGGCCATTCCAATCTGTATTTAATGGTGTAGATAATATAATGACATCACGGTTAAGTGTCAAAAACTCATAGTACGACCAGTTTACGTATTCGCGTTCATTAAGATAAGAGAGAAGAGCTATAGATTTAAAAGGTCAGTGAAAAATATTCAGATCCAGAGTCAAAGTCGTATAAGCTTACCAAAGTAGCCAGGGTAATGTTCGGTTGAAGACATGTTCGTAAATTTAAATCTGTAACGAATCTATTTTTTTGAGGGAGACGCGATTCGATCATAAGTCATAAGGCAGATCTCGGTCCAATCTGATTGGATCGGATCAACCGCGTTACGTCATAACGTTGGTCATCATTTCCTCTTAGGAAGACTTTCACATGATTGGCCTTTAATGTTACACGAATTTTACAATTAATATTGTAAATATTTATACATATTTCGTGATATCAATCTAATTAACTATTATATTTAAGTTATTTAGCATTTATATGTATAATAAATCAAAGTGTTAAAAATTAAACTTTTGTTTTGAAAATCAGTTTAATAATAATAATCTTAGTTTTGTTATTTTAAATAAAAAAATTTTTATTGTTATTAAAATATTTCTTTAAAAAAACTGGGTTTTTCTTTTAAATAATTTATTACTATTGAAATTTATATAATGCTTCCTCAAATGCATATACTATATATTTTACAGTTTTACTTTCATTATTATTATTGCATAAAATATTATTTTTCAGATCTTTAACTTCAGCTTGCTGTGCTTGCTGTTCTTCTTCAAAATGATATAAGCATTCTAGTAAAAACTAAATATGTTTATCAATACTATTTTGTAATAATGAGAGACAATACATGCTTTTGAACCTGTTATTAGTATAATAAGATTTGTGATAATTGTGATCATAACTTAAAATCTTAATAGGTTTTATATTAATTAAAAAAGAAATAGAACAGTTAGATACATTACAATACTGAAATGAATCAGATTTATGTAAAGTATTAAATCATAGAGAAAGATAGCATAATCACACCTTTAGTATTTTCATTATCATTAATAGAATAAAAATATATTGATTTTTTATTTGCATTTCTTCAAAGATGATAAATTTATGGTAATCTGTAATAAGAATATTAATGGTGATTTATTGTAAAATATACATGTATAAATTTCTGAAAAATATTGCAAAAGAAAATATGCACTTTCTTTATTAAAAAATAATATTTTAGAAAGAAGATTTATAGGAAGCCTATGTAAATATGTGCATGACATTTTCTCTAAATCAATTATTGTTTAGATATTGTCAGTTTATATAATATTCATATTTGATAATCTGCTGTATTTCTGAGTACTTTAATATAAAAAGCTGTGAAATATTTCAATAGTCAGATTTGAAAACTTTGAAAGTTTAATAATAATAGACTTTAAGATAGAGTAATTATTTAACTTCCAATAAAATATATCTGAAAGAAATATTAACAGTGTTTTTTTGTGATAAATCTTAAGAAATACTACCTATATATAAAAGCATAACTTTAAATAAATGTCAAAATTACCAGATTAGAAAAATACTATATAGATATCTAGAACTAAAGGAATAAGATTATTAAGTAAGTCTTTTAGTATGTATTTTTGTATAAAAATCCAAATTTCTTTTTAACACTTATCAAAATTTTCTGCCTAAGTAATATGAGAAATCTTTAAAAAAGATTAATATAATAGATCTTAGGCTTTATGCGAACAGTCTTCATTCTTCAATTATATATTTGTATATATGTAGTCAAAAAGAAAAATTAATATTAAAGGAATATTAATTCTTGACTATTTAATGAAATGTACAAGAACCTATTATAGGAAAAAATGATAAAGTAGAATTAGTAATATTTAATTAATCATAATATAAGATATAATGAGAGAGAGTTATTCTGAAATAGATTTGTCTAGGCCAATCGGTAATAACAGGAATAATATATCTATTTTAAATATATTATTATATAGATAAAACATTTATAGCAGCATTAATAGCTTTGATATATATATTTAAACTATAAAGATTATTTTCTTATAAATCTATAAGGATAGCATCTTTTATTGAACAAGTATTCTATTTCTTTTTCAACCTAGTATTAGAATTATGACTTTTCTAATCTAGTATTATTATTCACTAAATAAAATCCCTAATATTAGTTAGGTGAAAGATCAAAAGTATTATGAATCTATTATTCAGATTCAGTTTTATCAATTCAACATCAATCAACTTAGGATTGTATTCAAAATTTTATATTGTATAGTAATTAGATTTATTAAAATTATTATTAAATATATTTTAGTAAAAGTAGTAGTCAAATTTGATATCCATTTTGTATATATACTATAGTAATTATTGATATTCAATATCATTGCTTTCTCAAGACCCAGAAATATATATATAGAAGTAAGGTTCACTAATATATCACTATTATAGTAGCATTAGATAAAATAAGATTTTGATTTGTATATTTTTTTAGTTTTTTTTTTAGCTATACAGTAATTAGATTATTAGATTGCATATTTTAGTATATTTTTATTAGGTAAGAGGTTTAATTTGCGTATTTTTAGCATAAATTTAGTAGAATATAATATAATAAAGCTTTAAATAAGTTATATGCATATTTTTGTTATCTTTTAAAATGATAATATATTTATACTTTAATTTTAAATAAATTTAGGATTTTTGTCAAAAAGTTGAAGAAAATTTAAATCAGAAATTATATGTTGATTAATGTTTGATAACTAAATTAATAATATTATTAATTCTGATGTGAAAATAAAGGACCTAGATTTATTAAATACTCAATCATTTGTTGATTCTCTTTTAGAAACTAATAAGTTTTTTGCTGATGAAATATGATGATTTTAGTTGATTCCTAAAAATATACAGGAGTCAATTATTAGAAAAAAACTATTTTAAATGAATGCTCAAACTAATATTTAGTAATATTATAATATTAAGTGATATACTTGATTTATTAGTTAAATACTATATGATGATTTATGAAAAACTGGATTTTTAAAAACTGTTTGGAGAAGATCATAAAATTTGATGTTAAAATAAATTAGTTTAGTAGATACTGAATTAGTTTAAAAATATTTAGTTCTTTACATTTATCCTATCATGTTAAAAACTCATTCATTTTGGCAAAATTTATAACTAAGAATAGTAATGTTAATTATTATCCTAAACAAATCTAATATTTTTATGTATACTATTAATTTACCAGAAAATGAATCATTTAAATATAATTTAGTATTTATTCATTAGTATAAGGCCTTGAATTTACGGTATTATTTTAGTATTACTAGTGATAAAATGAGTAATACTTAATTATTAAATATTAAATTTTATTACCCAATCTTTCATATTCTGTGTTGATTTATATTAATGAAATATCAAATTTCAGTATGAAAAAATGCAAAGGATCAATTAGCTATAAATCTGATAAATAAAAAATTATCATTTGTTAAAAATATTAAATTAAAGAATGTTTAAAATCTAAGAAATAAATTAATTTTTAATTTATTTCAATATATAAGAAATAATATATTATATTTAGAAAATTTTATTATAATAAATTTTATTATCATGTAATTAGTAAATAATGAAGTTTATAATTGAAAATATAAACATAAAATTTAACTATCAATCAAATACTTTAAAAGTTTATCAGATTTTTTTATTTATTTCAAAAATGTAAAATAAAGATTTTTCCTAAACTATTTTAGGAAATTTGAGTTTTGAGATATTTAAGATTAAACTATTTGTTTATAATAAATAATTTTACATAAACTTCTAATAGGTTTTCTTAAACTCAATTAAGTTTAATCAAGTTTTAGATTTTAAAAAAAGCCATTTTAAAGGTTTTGAAAATTTTAAGCAATATATTAAAATAGGTTTTGAATAGTATCATTAGTGTAAAATATCAAAATCTAGCTATTAATTAAATGCTTTAAAAGTTTATCAAATTTTAATATAAATTGAAATTTAGCCGAAATTTGATTGAAATCAGCTGAAATTTAGTCAAATTGTTATATAACTGAAACTTCTTATTTTGATTAGTATTTATATATCTATATGTTTGTTTTAGAGCTCCGAATCAGGTCAGGTCAACCTGT